GAAACGATTCGTGTGTTTAGCGTTTCGCGTCGCCAGGCGTTCTTGGAGGTTCATGCGAAACCCTCCTGGCTCGACGTGGAGGCTCGTTGAGTAGTGTCGGTGCCAGGTTGGTTACTCTTGGAGTTACGTGAAGCCATATCATGCCTTTCTTGGGCCGTCTTCGCGGCTTTCGTGGCCTTGCAGGGCCGTCTTGGACACCATTGTGAACATGTTAGGCGTTGCGGGCAGCGACGGGGAACCGTCGATACATTCGTGGGGTCTCAAGGGAGGGGGCGGTGCACGCGACGCCGTGCGAATAGAGAGGTGCCCTTATTCAATTACCGTGCGCCCTGCCACACAAGATTTGGCAGCGCATCACCCGTCGTCGTGCCGGGGGGGGGCGGTGGCGGAAGGGGAAGGCAGTTCTAGCGCGTTTGTGCGTTTTCAGAGCTTCACAACCAAATACACGAACCAAATCAAGGCCATTATTTCAGCGGGAATCCCCATATTGATGTTGTTTCTGCCATTTGTGTAAGCCGATGGGATGTTGGGCGGAGTTTCAAGCTTCGGTGAGTTTTGGGGCGTTTAGAGAAGCTCCCTACGGCTTCTTGTGGCGTCCTGCTTGTTTCCCGCTTCGCAGTTCTGAGCAAACGCTGGCCGATTTCGAAATCTGTCGGGCCTCATGCGAGTTGTCCCGGACGGTTTGCAGGATCTTGCCTCCCACGGGTTCCCTCTTTAGGGCGCCTGGCTGGCTCTCCTCAAGCCTCTCCACCCCAGTGCGTGAAGGGAACCATATCGCGCAGCATTGTAGGCCTCATGGGAAGGGCCACGTGGGACAAAAAAAAACTAACGCGCCCCGAGGCTGCGAAAACGCCTTGACGAAAGACACATGCATGGCCGTTTCGCGCGTGACAGATTCACTAATTTGCGACGGTTTGCGAAACCTCAATTTTGAGAATTGTTTGAACGCAGATGGGTCGGGTTTTGATGACATGGCGACCCATGCCAAGGTCTCGTTGTCGCGAGTTTGAAAACATATCAGGCCATCGAGGGGCTATGCGCAGACAGGTTATACGCACGGCCCCAGATCGTCACGTTAGACATCGGCGCGTTCTTTGGGCGCGTTTTGCTTCAATTCGCGTGTGAACCCTGCGTGTGTGAACGCAACCGTGCTCCCCAGGAACATTTGTGAAGAACTGTGTGGCGTCTTCATAGACAAGTTTTTTTGTTCGAAGGTCTCTCACGGTTGTGGCCTGTTCGGTCGGCGGGTCGCCCATGCGATTATATTATCGTTTCGGTTTTCCTTGCGACGCCAGCGAGAACGGGTGGATGAGGAACACATCGGAGGCAGAGGGGGGCCGGAGGGCGAGGAAGGAGCCAGAGATATAATGCGCGAGCAAGACGCTCGATGCAACGCGTGGGAACGACATGAAGTTGACGATTCAGAGGACGGAAACGGAAAACGGAGGGTGGTGGCGATTGGCGGGCGGTGTGAGGGATTAAAGCCGCCTTCCGAAAACAAAGGACGCGTTGAGGAAGCAGTGCAGGAGAACAGGGGAGGGCGATGACTGATCAAACGAGGGCCAGCAGTAATGAAGGGGACGAGGAAGGATGCGAATGGGGGGTGGCAGCGAACGATGGAGAGAATGAACAGTGTGGGGGCGCTGGGAGAGGCGGGAGAGCCTTTTTGTGATCGGGCAGCTGCGACAGCGAGCAGGGGAGAAGTTAGGAGCATGGGCGGGGACCCATCAAGATGGACGGGACGATGGAATCATCTAGGAACACGGGAGGGGGTCGATAATCGATGAAGGCAGTTTGGAGGAGGAAGAAGAAGGCAATGGAGGGGAGGATGTTTTCGGGTGCGCGTTTGTTTGCCATTTTTGAGGCGGTGGTCGAGATGTTGAGGCTCGTCGGCGCTCGCACTGCAGGTATCACTGTGAACAGTATCCCTTTTTGGGCTTGCACCTTGGCAAAAAAAAGGGGCAAACCGATATTCCAAACATTTGTTCTGCATTGTGTTGCCCCGTGGCTCCATGTTCGCCCTGCCATGTCTTGAGTTGGTTGCTCAGCGAGAGTCCTTACAACAGGAGCAATTCGTGGGCAGCGCGCGGTTGGCGCATGGGCCAGGCCTGAGCTAAATTCACCCGAAGCACAGCGCAGGGTAATCAGTGCACTGCGGAAACAAATTGCGTCTTCAATGGATCGCGCTCTAGCCATGCGTGGAGCGAGCCATGTGTCCCTGCACGCTGAAACTCGTGTTGGCCATGCATGAAATATTAATATGCGATCGGCTGGTGGTGTTTTTGTGCGTCGCTAAACCTGTGCCTATGCCATTGTGTCCCTTCGTGTTAGTTCCAGCATGGTGGTTGTGTTGTTCCTTGATGTCCTCCGCTTGTGTTTGCGGCACAGTGTAGAGTCGAACCGAACCGTTTGTGCGATGCAGCAGTCCGCCGAAAACATGCCAGCATTCCACGCGGCCCGTGGCAGCACATTGTAGCTCGAAATCCCACGGGGAGACGCGCTGCCAGAACGCGCTCCCATAATCACAGCACCCTACAATTTCGCCAACAGCATCGGGACGTCATGCGGTGAACGTCGTTTCGTTTGGCTTACGCCATTTCCGCCGACCCCTTGATCATGCATGACCGAGCCCGTCCAGGACAGCCTTGGGGCGCCACGTGGGTGCCACGCGATGGCGCCTGCCGCACTGAAGACGCGGCGGCCACGGCAACCGGTCTAGCGTTGTCATAACGCAACACGCCCCCGCATTCACACTAGCGCTTCACGAGCGCACGTAACGCAGATAGCATGCTCAATGCGATCGCAAATCATGATCATGAATGCCGCCACGTGCGCGCTAAGGACAGTCTGCAGGAAGCGGACGTCGAATGCCAAGGGTGCCATCGGCCATTCGGGCCCCAGCGCGGGGGCCCAAACCCGACCCAACCCGGACCCGAGTTATCCCGGATGATTCGGGCCGCAGCCCTCGGAGCGCCGCGCGTGCTGGATGCGCTGGCTTTGCGACCCTCGGGGCTGTGGTCGCGACTGGGCGTCCGCAATACTCCTCCCCTCCCTCCCTCGGCACGGACGAAACTGGTACGGCAAGAAAGGGGACAGACCGACAGCAATTTTTATCCGTTTTTGAACATGGCTCGTTGCCGGTGTCGCCGCTGACGTTGTCCATCTGAGAGAACGTCGCCTGTCCAACAGCGGCCGCTGTCGATGTTGGCCAACCTTTGCTGTTGGGCATCGTACCCATCCTGCCCATAACCATTCCGGGAGTTCCAATCCCCTTTGTTCTTGTCGCCCTCCTTCTTCACTCCCCCCGCCGGGGGGAGGGGGGAGAGGGTAAATACAGCACCATGGCGCCCGCGACTCCACTCTCCAACCATAGCGCGGGCGCCCGGACTTGCAGGCTCGAGCGTGGCCGTCACCCTGAACCAGGGTGGTAGGCTCCAAGCGTTGGGACCCCTAGGTCAGGAAGAGCGTGTTCTGCTGCTGCTGGCAAGAAAATCGGGGAGGGGGGGGTCACTGGGGAATTCCAGCCCGTCCCCCCCAGGGGGTCACTGGGGGTTCCAGCCCCCCCCCCGGTCCATCATGAAAGGGGGGGGCAGGTCACTAACAGTTCGAACCCCCTTCCTCGCCGCCGGCAAGCGATTCCCCCTTCCTGCCCCACTCCAGACAGTGGGACAGTGGTGGGGACAGTGGGGACAGTGGGACAGTGGTGGGGACAGTGGTGGGGACAGTGGGGACAGTGCGACAGTGGTGGGGGCAGTGGTGGGGGCACTGGTGGGGACAGTGGGGACAGTGGTGGGAACAGTGGACAGTAAGACAGTGGTGCGGACAGTGGGATGGGGACGGTGGTGGTGGGGGACACTGGTGAGGGGACAGTGGAACAGTAGTGGGGTCAGTGGGGACAGTGGGACAGTGGTGGGGACGTTGGTGGTGGGGACACTGGTGAGGGAGGTGGTGAGGACGGTGGTGGGACAATGGAACAATGGTGCAGTGGGGAGACTGGCGGGGACAGTGGGGACAGTGGGACAGTGGTAGGGACGGTGGGGACTGGGACAGCACAGTGGGACAGCGGTGGGGGCAGCGGGGACAGTGCGACAGTGGTGGGGGCACTGGTGGGGACAGTGGGGACAGTGGGGAGAGTGGGACCGTGGTGGGCACAGTGGTGGGGACAGTGGTGGGGACAGTGGTGGGGACAGTGGGGACAGTGCGATAGTGGGGGGGGCATTGGTGGGGACAGTGGTGGGAACAGTGGTGGGAACAGTGGGGACACTGGGACAATGGTGGGGATACTGGGGACAGTGGGACAGTGGTGGGGACGGTGGTGGTGGGAACAGTGAGGAATATTCGAAAATGGACAAAAGATAGTCTGGGGATGATTTGTCCTCGAAAATCGGCCTATACGGGGGACAGGCCCGACCTAACCCTAGACCCTCTCGATCCCACCCCCCATATCCCCCCCGCGTCTCGTCCGCCTGCCCCCAGCGGCCTTCCCCCCTCTCGACTGGGATTGTGGATCAGCCTCGCGATCTCTCTGCATGTGGCTCGTGAGGCGAACGGCACGCGCGCGGGCCGACATGAGGCCAGTATCGAAACATGCGTATGCTGCGGAGGTAGCAACTCTGCACCACAGCTCTTCGCGCAAGGGGCTCACGCCAGCCCGCCGACCCCCACGCCAAGAACCGTGGTTCGTCAAGAGGTGCGTCACCGTGCCAGCCTGTGCGCCAGGATCCTCGGGGGTGCATTCGAGGGTCTCACTGACTGCCCCTCGGGGGCCTCTTAGAGGGCTCTGAGGGGCATTTGATTGCGGGACCAGGCGCAATGAGCACGGCCGTTTGTTTCTCATGCTTTTTGATGCTGCACGGGCGTTTCTATATGTGTAGGTGTCAGCGAAAAGGGGCTGGCGTTTGGGGTCCTCTCGGGGGCCTCTCGGGGGCCGCTTGAGGGCCTCTTGGAAGCCTCTTGGGTGCCTCTTGGGGGCGCCTCCCTGCAACTCTTTACCCCTCGAGGCTCGGACGTTCATGGAGCTCACCAGCGCAGTGTGCGCCGACATGCCCGAGGGGACCCGTGCCGCCGTCGTGGGGCTGGTAGGCGCCGCGCAGTCCAGTTTCCTGTTCATGGCCGCCCGGAGGGGAGGGAAAAATGGTTTGTCGTCGACGTCGTTTGTCGCACGCGAACGGCGCAAACATAGACTTTCGGAGCTCCGCGCGGATTTCGTGGATCGGCGTTGGGCCCGCCGGTCAGCGCCTCCCGTGCCGCCTCCCTGCGCGCTCCTCGCGCCAGGGAGGGGTCCAGCGCAGATGCAAACCGCGCGGAGCTCCGAAAGTTACGCTCACGCCTTCTGACTGCTCCTCTGTTGGGGTGTGTTGGCGGCGTTTCTGGAGGTTCTCGTCGCCACGTCTGGACGCCGCTCGTAGAGTTAGCAGGGATGGGCCCTGGTAGGGTCCATGGTCCAGGGACCGATCTGGAGCGGCGGAACATCTGGGATGTGAAGCGGGATGGTCGGACACAAAGGGCAGGGGGGCGAGGGGGGTGGGCGAAGGGAGCAAAGAGGAGTGGAGAAGGACAGGGTGGAAAGTGAAGTGGCGAAGGAAGGGGCGAGAAGTAAAGGGAAAGGCGAGGGAGGGGGGAGGATTGAGAGCCATTGTCTGCCCGCGCTCCCGCGGCGACCGACCTCGACCGTATTCCCCACCCCCCCACCACCCCTCCCGTTCCCGCCGCCCACTTCCTCTCACGGATCTTGTCCTTCCTCGTCCGCTCTTCCCTCCTCCACATCCCGATCTTCCGCTCCCGCCCACCTCTCCTTCTCGCTTCCCCCCTGGTGGGCACCCCTGTTGGCCCCTCATATGTTTCTCTTCCGCCCCCCTCCCTATGTGTACTCACTCTCGCGGTAACCGAGCACCCCGGATAATAAAGAATCTTCACATTAACCTTTGAAGGTTGTTTATCCCAGGACAAGACAGAGTTGGTCGGGGGAATCATCTTACGATGCGAAGCAGCACTATCACGAACGTGTGGTGGAGCTATGAGATTATCACCATGTCCTCTCTCAACCAGGCCCTCCTCTCCCGTTCCTCCTCTCCTCGCCTTGTCCTCCTCCCCCGAGCCTTTCTCCCCACACACTTTGTATCTCTCCGGGCATTGTGATCAGCGGAAACCGCGCACTGATCAGGGAGGGAGTAGTAGTAGTAGTAGTAGTAGTAGTAGTAGTAGTAGTAGTAGTAGTAGTAGTAGTAGTAGTAGTAGTAGTGGTAGTAGTAGTAGTAGTAGTAGTAGTAGTAGTAGTAGTAGTAGTAGTAGTAGTAGTAGTAGTAGTAGTAGTAGTAACAGCAGGGGAGTGAGTAGTAGTAGTAGTAGTAATAGTAGTAGTAGTAGTAGTAGTAGTAGTAGTAGTAGTAGTAGTAGTAGTAGTAGTAGTAATGGTGGTAGTAGTAGTAGAAGTAATACTACTAGTGGTAGTTGTATGTCTATTACTTGTACTGCCACTAGTCGCGGCAGTTGTAATATAATCAGTAGTATAGTAGTAGTCGTCGTATAACAATAAGAGTCGTCGTCGTGGACGTAATGGTAGCAGTGGTAAACGTATACGTCGTCGTCGTCGCAGTAGTAGAAGTAGTAGAGGAAGTATTGGTAGTAGTAGTAGTAGTAGTAGTAGTAGTAATAGTAGTAATAGAAATAGCAGTAGAAGTAGTAGCCGTAGTAGTAGTAGAAGTAGTAGTAGTCGTAGTAGTAGTAGTAGTAGTAGTAGTAGTAGTAGTAGTAGTAGTAGTCTTGGTGGTCGTAGTTAGAGTAGTAGTAGTAGTACTACTACTACTACTACTACTACTACTACTACTACTACGAGTACCGCTACGACTACGGCTACTACTACTACTACGACTACGACTGCGACGACTACTACTACTATTACAGCTACTTCTACTACCGCTACGGCTACGAGTATTACGAATGCGACTACGAGTACTCATTACGATCACTAACATTACTACGACTACCACTACCAAGAACATTACGACTACGACTACTCGTATTACTACCACTACGACTACCACCATTACGACGACGACTACTACTACTACTACTACTACTACTACTACTACTATTACGACTACTACTACTACCACGGCGACTAGTACAACTACTACGACTATGACTACTATCACGACCATTGCGAATACTACCACTACAACTACGACTACTACTCGTAATACGACTATTCGTATTACTACTACTTCTACAACTGACTAGTTAAAGATGTTTGCTCCTACTTCTACTAATAGTACCACTACTATTATTACTACTACGACCACTCTTACTGCTACTTCTACGGCTACTACGACTACTACTACTACTACTACTACTACTACTACGACTACTACTACTACTACTACTACTACTACTACTACTACTACTACTACAACTACAACTACAGCTACCAGTTACGCTACGACCACGGCTACTATTATGACGACGACTACTACGACTACTACGACTACTACCACAATGGCTAGTTCTACTACGATTACTACCACGCATACTACTACTACTACTACTACTACTACTACTACTACTACTACTACTGCTGCTACTACTACTACTACTACTACGCTTACTACTACTACTAATACTACTACTACGACTAGTACTATCACCACTGCTACTGCTACTACCCTTACTACTACTGCTACTACTACCCCAACGACTACCTCTACTACGACGACTACTACTACGACGACTACCAGCGACAAATACCACTACTAGTATGCTTGTGTGCATCACTAATAGTGATACCACAACTGCGAGATTGTAACACACCGCTAATAGTGATACCACAATTGTGTGGTACACATAATGTGTACCACAATTGCGAGATTGTAAGTATTTATATCTCGACTACGGCCACTACTACTACTACTACTACTACTACCACTACTACTACTACCACTACTACTACTACTACTACTACTACTACTACTACTACTACCACTACTACTACTACTACTACTACTACTACTGCTACTACTGCTACTAGTGCTACTAGCACTTCAAGGACGACTACGGCAACTCGTGATACTACTACTGTTACGCGTGATACTACTACTGTTACGCCTTCGACTACTACTACGGCTACTACTACGACTACTACTACTACTACTACTACTACTACTACGACTACTACTACTAGTACGACTATTACTTTAACACTACTTCCACTACTACCACTACTGCTACGACTACTATTACTACTACTACTACGACTCTTACTACTACTACTACTACTACTACTACTACTACTACTACTACTACTACTACTACGACTACGACTACTACTACTACTATTACTACTACGACTATCACTACTATTGCGACGACGGCTACTACGATTACTACTACTACTACTACTACTACTACGACTACTACGACTACTACCTCTAAGACTACGATTACTACTACTACTGACAAAATGTTTACGAGTACGACTACGACTATGGCCACAACGACTGCCACTACTACTACATATGCGACGACTACTACTACTACTACTACTACTACTACTACTACTACTACGACGACTACTACTTAAACTTTTGCCAGCCCTACTGCGATATTGTTTGCTTCTCTGCGTTGGTGATTTTTTTGTTGTTGGTGTTGTTGTGGTTGCTACTGTCGAACTCTCTGTTTTGTTCCCGGCATGTTTATCCCATTTGCCCTCGCTGTGTATGGGTGTATGTGTGTTTGCATACATATGTACGTATATGAGCCAGCGTACATCCCGAACCAACGCATTGAAATCTATAGTGTGCAACCTGTGTGTTGCTCAGCATATAATTTGTGCAAGTTGCATGATCCAATGTGCGCGGTGCAACCGATGCTGTGCAACAAAAGCGTTGTGCAATGTATGTCTGGCGCAGTGTCTATGGTGCAACCTACGGTGTGTAATCTGTGGCTTGTGCTATATATCTGGCGCAACTGATGTGGTGCAGTCTATGTGGTGCGAACTACGTGATGCAGTTCGCCCTGCCGAGCGTGAAGTTACCAACTCCACTGCTCGCGCAAACATCCCACCAACCCACACGCATCTTGGTTTGCAAAACCTACGCTGCGGCGATTGCGGCGGCTGTTTGGCGCTGGTTGGCACATCGCTGCGGCCGCGCTAGCACGCGCAGGCTTGCGGCCGCGCTAGTACGCGCAGGCCAGCGCGCAGAGCGGCCAGTTAGTCCGGCGCGACCGACGCGGCCGCGTTTGCGTTGCTTGTTGGGGATTTCCCAGCGCGTCTTGACGCGCGGGCACTTCAGTGCGAATCGGCGATATCGGGCGGGCGCGGCACCATGGCGACAACGACAGCAGCAGACGCGAACATGTTAGTACCGATGTTTTTTGGCGAGAATGTTGATGACGACGGCATGGCCAATGACGGCGCCGATGCTGATCACGACGACGATGGTGCCCGCGTGTCGGCGATGAAGGTTTTGAGCGAATTTCGACGTTCGCGCGCGGCCGACGCGCGCGAGTGGCCCAATGCCCCCCCCAAGCACGCGCGTAAGGGCGTTCGAATGATTCCGACGCGCGCGCGAAAAGCCTGGTTGGGCGCATGTGTTGACATGTTAAAGCTCCTTTTTTCCTGTCCGAATTCGGAAGTGCGCGCGCATGCATTTTGGACAAAAAACCCCACGGTGCAAAACCACGCGTTACCCAAATGGTTTCGGGACACAAGATTTTACAAACCCGAGCAAACCGGAGCTTTTTGCAAGACTCCGCACGGGGCTCTTGCAAACGGACGGTTTTGATGAACGAGCGCGCGCGGAAAAAATATGAGAGGGAAGTTGCCCTAGCCGGGGTGGCGTGGGTTAATTTCTAAAACGCACGATGGGGCGGAATCAAAATCTACACTGCACGACCACAGCGCGCGTCGATAATCCGAAGGAGGGGTGGGCCCGGATTCTATGCGGCGAAGATAACTTGTAAGTAGCTGCTGTTCGCGGTGAATTTGCCAATTCCAATTCTCGCGCAACACCCGCCCACCCGCATGCTGGTCTGCAAAACCAGCCTATCAGCGATTGCGCTGGCTGCTCGGCGCTGGCTGGCGCACCGCCGCGGCCGCGCTAGCGCGCGGGTTCGCGCGCAGAGCAGCCCGCTGATTTGGCGCGACCGACGCGGCCGCCTGGCACGTGTCGCAGGCGGCGCTGACGCGCGGGCAGTCCAGTGGGAGTCGGCCACTTAGTCGGGCGGGCGCGGCCCCATGGCGATGTTGACGGCGGCAGACGCGATGATGATAATGATGATGATGATGATGACGATGATGATGATGGTTATGATGATAGTAGTAGCTTTGTTGCTGACGATACTGACGAAGACGACAGCAAGGCCAATCACGGCGCCGATGCTGATTATGCCGGCAACGATACTGGAACCCACGCGTCGTTGGTGAACGTTCGGGGAGGATTTCGACGCGAGCGCGCGGCCGCCGCGCGCGAGTTGCCCGCGCGGCGCGATTTCGCCGGGATCGCCCACCCCACCCATCCCGCCCCCCACCCACCCCCGCGCGCGGGCACGGGAGCACGAATGATTCCGACGCGCGCGCGCGCGCCCGAGGGGCCCGTCCGGTCGCATTGGATGAAAACGTCGGAAAACAAGTGGTTGTTTTTCGATCCCGAAACCATTGCGAAACCCAGAATGTTTGAACAATGTCGGCGCGCGCTCGCGGCAGGGGCAAGCGCGCACTTCGCCCCGTCCGTTGCGTGGGACTTTCGCAAACGGCTGGCTCTCGATAGACGAGCGCGCGCAGAGTATGATTCGACGAGGACGACGGGCGGGAGTTGGCCCTGATTGGGACGGCATGAAGCCCATATTCAAAACAATCGATAGGGCACAATCGCACGTAATTGGCCCGCCCCCATCACCGCGCTAGCGCCCAATGACGGCGCCGACGCCGAGCACGCCAGCGCCCCCAGCAAACGCGCAAAGGCGGTCGAATGACTTCGACATGCGTTCGCAGCCGAAGTGCGCGAGTGGCCTGGATGGTGTTATATGATTGGGATCGCGCCCCCCTCCCCACCACCACCCCAGCAAGCGCGCAACGTCTTTCGAATGAGTTCACGATGCGCATGCGAGGGCCCCTTTTTGGTCGCATGTGATGGAAGTGTTGACACCGATGGCTATTGATCAAAAATTCGCAGGAGCGTGCGCGCCGACCCTTTTAGAAATTAATAGTAGTTTGCAAACAATTCATTGTTCATACGTGTTCGGGACACTCGAATGTGCAATTCTTACGACACCCGAGGTTTTACCAGGAATTTCGGCATGCGCGCGCGACGACGCGCGCGTGTGTCCCAGAGTGTTGCAAAGGACTATTGCACATGGGTATGGTGCGTGCGAGTGGTATAGCATTTGACCGGGACCATGGGGGGGAACCCAGCCTAGTTGTGATAGTATTGGTTCGTATTCAGAGTGAACGATGGGGCAAAAACGTGTGCAAATTTCACATCCCCAGATAGATCAAGCTTCGGGACGATGGTATATCCGAAGTTAGTTTCACAAAAAATGGGAACCTATTTTTCTTGCGGGGACGAGCCGGCGACGGGGCGTCGACGGCGGCAACATAGCCGTCAGACTGGCAGACAAGCCCAGACGACGGGTGTCGACGAGGCGGCGATGGGGCGGCGACGGCGGCAACATAGCTGCCACAGCGACAGGCCCAGTTCCTTGGTGCTAAAGTGAGAGCCTGTGCAAGCACCATTTAGGGGATACATCTATAGATACACACACGAGCGCGATGTACATAAATGTACGCAAACACACATATATATACATATATATATATATGGATATATGTGTAGATGTAGATGTAAACATAGACATACATACATACATGCATGTACCCTGTAGGTTTCAGGTACATCTAGGTGAACAGCACTATCGTTATGCAGATGTAGACCTGTATATCCTGAGATGTCCCTACGTATTTGTATCGGTGCAAATTTCCGTATCAGCGCCTGCACTTCCGAGTTCTTCGTTCCGTTCCTTGAGTGATTGGGCGGGTCCGCCGAAGGTTTTCCACGTTGCCGCTCGACGGGCGCTCGTAAAACCCCCGTGCGCTGGGTGGGTCCGCCGCAGCTGCGCTACGAGAAGCCGCCCCGTGGGCGCTCGTGCGCGCCCCCTGCGCGGAGTGGGTCCGTCGATGTTGCTTCACGTTGCCGCAAGTGCCGCCTCGTGGCTCGTCGGCGCCCCGTGCGCTGGGCTGACACTACATGTCTTGCACCACAAGCTCACACGATATAGTTTACACCACATATTTAGCACGCACATCTTACACTGCATAGATCTTCCGTTTTTTTTTCAAAGAGGCAGCCGGACTGCACCACCACAGCTGGGCTACCGGGCCCCCGTGGGACAGCAAATTGCACATGGTCTTGCAATCCTACCATCCTAGCCCAGCCCGTCTTGCCCCCCCCTACCCCGCCGTTCTTGCCAAATAACACGATGCGCGCATTTGCTGATCAATATGGATCACGTTTCTAGATCCACTTGCAGACAGCAAAATGCGGCACGCAGTCCACACGAGCGCACCGTCGCGCGCACGAGAAGTATAGAAGCACGGTTCTTCCTCAGCAATTTCAACACCCGACCTGTCAACACCTATCAACACTTTTGGTCTGGGAAAAAGAAGTTGCTGGAATTATGTGCGTGCGCATTCGTTGACATCTTAAGAAAACCGAAGTAGTTCAGCCGTTCTGCCAGATCAGACCATTCGAGCCACTTGCGCACGCATGGCGGACTCGTGCAACCGCCATCGCGCGCCCACCAGTTCGGTCGAATGAGACAATGCGGGCCACATTTGCACGTTACCGCGCGCACGTCGAGATCATGTCGGGATGGCTTGATTTCTGCTGGCGTGCACTTTCGCATCGCTCTCGGCGCAGTCGCATCGCCGTCAGCATCATCATTGGCATCGTAATCATCGCCATCATCAGTCGAAATATTGCAGTCGTCAGGTCCAATCACGGTTCTGTGCGCGCACATCGAGATCACGTTTGGATGGTGTGATGGTTGCGGGCGCATATTGTCCCATCCTCTTCATAAGCGCAATTGTCATCATCGTTGTCAGCGTTGTCATCGCCATCGTTACCATCATCAGCAGCATTATAATCTTTATAACCACCATCGTCAGGATCATCACCGCCTTCGTCATCGCTGGCATCGTCGACGCCGCCGTTGCCGACGTCAGCATGTCATCAAGCCCGCTTGGGTCACCGACCCTGGATTGACGTGGCCACGCGCCAGCGCGACCTTTGAGACGCGCGAGGAAGCTCCCATACGTGAGCGCCATTGCGGCCGCATCATTTGTGCCAAACCAGCTGGCCGATCCACTTGTGAACCCGCGCGCACCAGTGCGGCCCATGATATTGCGCCCGCCCGAGTCGCCGACCTAGATTGAAGCGCCCGCGCGCCAACGCGATCTTCGAGACGCGCTGGGAAGGCCCCATCCATGATCGCCATCGCGGCCACATTTTTTGTGCCAAACCAGCTGGCCGAGCTGCGCATGAGCGGGCGCGCGCGCCAGTGCGACCGCAGAGACGAAACAGTAAGATCCGATCGGCAACCGCAGTCGAAGCCGAACGGTTTTTGCGAAACCAGTTGCGGGGGGGACGGTGGGATGATGTCGCGAGCATTGGAGTTGGCGGCTGCAATGCCCACTGGTAAATGAACGCCGCATAGTTTACACCGCGTAGCTAAAACCTCCAGCGCACGCCATGTATATTACACAACGTCGCTCACAACCTGCATACTCATAGTGTTCACCGTATAGCTTCTACCTCCACGGTACAATAACTCACTGTTCGAGATTCACGTTGGCTAGCATCTAAGTTTTCGCATGCATACATGAACATACATGTATAATCACATACACATAACGCATATACGATATTCTGTGTATGTGTATGTATGCGGTACTCAGATATACATGTGACAAATATGTATAACATTGTATATACGCATGCCCGTTGTCTTCATCGCATCTCCGTATGTTTGCCCCCTTTCCTGAGTCATCCCCTCCCCATCCCCCCCTGCCCGCCAGCCTCGCCGCCATATTCCAGAGCAAGGAGGGCGGCGAAGCTGTTCGGGCCCGTGCGACCCGAGAGGAGGTGGAGCGAGGAGTTCAGGAAATGAGAAGTAGGAGGAGGAGGAGGGGAAGAACGAAGACGAGGACGAGGAAGCGCGAGGAGCGAGGAACATACTAGGAGGGGGCGGAGGAGGAGGAGGAGGAGGAGGAGGAGGAGGGGGGAGCAGGAGGAGGAGGAGGAGGAGGGAGGAAGAGGACGAGGAGGAGGAGGAGGAGGAGGAGGGGAGAGGAGGAGGGGGGACGCGCGAGTGCCCCCCCTCCATCCCCCTCACCCCATGCAGGTCTTGGGGCTCTACTCCCTGAGCATCGGCGAAGGTCCTGCCCGGCAGGGCCTCTCTCCTTTCCTCTCCCATCCCCTCGTTCCTCTTCCTCCATCTTCATCCTTCCTCCTCCTCTTGCTCCTCCTCCTCCTCCTCCTCCACCTTCTCCTCCTCCTCCTCCTCCTCCTCCTTCTCCTCCCCCCCCTCATCTTGTTGCGAGGACTCCCTGCCCAATCCTCTCCGGGGACGCACAAGTTACAGAGGGACGGGATGAAGATGGTGATGATGGTGTTAGTGGTGGTGATGATGACGATGACGAGGTCGATGACGTTGACCATGTCAAAGACGATGACGATGACGATGATGATGATGATGATGATGATGCTGATGCTGATGATGATGATGATGATGATGCTGAGTATGATGATGATGATGATGATGATGATGATGATGATGATGATGACAGTGATGGTGCTGATGGTGGTGATGATGAGAATGGTGATGATGATGATGGTGGTGGTGATGATTGTGATGGTGGTGGTGATGATGATGACGATGGTGATGCTGATGATGCTGATGGTGATGACGATGATGATGATGGTGATGGTGACGGTGATGGTGGTAAGGATGATGATGTTATTGATGATGATGCGGATGGTGATGCTGGTGATGATGATGGCGGTAGTGGTGATGATGGTGATGATGGTGGTGATGATGATGGCGATGATGCTGGTGGTGATAATGTTGCTGATGCCGATGATGATGATGCTGCTGATGCTGATGAGTATCATGGAGGTGATGATGGTGCGGGGACTGATGCTGGTGATTGTGATGTTGATGTTGAGTTTGATGTTGGTGCTGGTTGTGTTGGCGATGATGGTGTTGATGATGATGACGAAGGTGATGGTGATATTGATGGTGACGGCGATGGCGATGATGGTGATGCTGCTACTGTTGATGATGATGATGATGGTGATGATGATGGAGATGAGGAGGATGAGGATGAGGGTCACGATGAGGATGCTGATGATGATGATGCTGATGATGATGATGATGATGATGATGATGATGATGATGATGATGATGATGATGATGGTGCTGGTGCTGGTAATGGTGATGGTGATGATGGTGATGATGGTGATGATGGTGATGATGGTTATGGTGATGCTGTTGCTGATGCTCATGCTGATGATGATTACTCCTGTGGTTATGGTAATCATGATGATGGTGAATGAGGGTGATGGCTACGATGATCATGATGGCGATGGGAATGCTGTGGACGGTGCCGATGATGACCATGCTAAGCAGCATCATCGTCATTTGCGCCAACACCACCATTGCCACCACCTTCGCAATCCCCATCCTCATCACCACGACGAAGGCAGGCAGGGCGAGGCAGGGCTGGCGTCCTGCCCCCCGGGGGGAGAGCTCAGGCCTCGGGGCCCCGCCGAGTCGGGCACGCCCGGCGAGCGCCTCGGCCCGGTGCGGGAATGGCGGGGACTTCCGTCCAAGCGGGGTCGGTCAAGCACACCCAAGAGGGGGGTCCAGCAGAAAGGGGGTGGTGCTATAGATTTGGGGCAATTCTGTTGCACATGTATTGCGCCGGAATGCTGGTCAGAACGCACCCCACGAGGTGTCCGCAGAGTCCCGGTATCGGTGTTTGTTGACTCTCCAGCCGAAGGCACCTGCACACCACCACCACCAGCGTGCCTGGCCAAGGCCCTTCTGGGCCCCGAGATACTGTAGACCTCCTGGCCTCGGCCAGGAGGGCGTACAATCAAGCAGGATCACAACGACGAGTAATGTTATCGTTTTCTTATGCGTTGTTTTTCCGATCGGCGCGGGCCCTCGCACCCCCCGTCACCCCCCCTCTCTCCCATAGAGTAGATCTTGCTTGTTTGGGGCGCCTGTTTCGAACAGGTGGAGTGTTCCCCATAAGGGACGCACTGTTGCAAACATCGCATTATGCAGAGGTCCAGAGCCTCACCCCCCCCCCGGCCTTCCGCCCAATGTCGCAACGCCAAACAAGAAAACGCTCACGAGGACAAGTACTGTTCCAAGGGTGCCCTCGCATCCTTGTCTCTCGGCCGCCCTGGTCCCCTCACAGTGGGCTGCCAGTTTCGGCTTGAAGATGGGCGCGCCCACGGGTCACGTATCCTCGCCGCGCATCCTTATGATTCGGTCGCGCTGAATCATAAGGCTCCCCCTCTGCTCCCCTCCAGGGTACTCCCCCCAATCGCCAGGCGCCCTTGCCCGCGCTTGGCGTCTCAGCCCCCCCCTCCCCTTGGCTTCTGGCCGGGGCGGGGGCGGCGGGGCCGGACAGGTGGTGCACAGCGCGGCAGAGAGGCAGTCGCACCGTGCACGCCGTGCCCGCCACCAGGAGGGGGCCCCGGCCAGGGACGACGGCGGTTGCAGAGCCGCCCCCCCCCCCCCCCGTGTCTATGAGCGCACGGCCCAGCGCGGGGGGGGGGTCACCTCGCAGGGTCGCTTCCCGCAGACCTGCGCGTCTCGCGCATCTCGCCGCGGCTTGGGCCGGAGAGGCGGCGCGCCCTGCTCCAAGGCATGCGCGGCCTCGCGAGGGCGCGGCGGAGATGGCCGCGCACGGGCCCGTGCGCGACTGACTCGCGCGACGGGCAGCGGCCTCTCTGGGTGCGATCGAGGCGGCCGGGCTGGCTCCCCCGGGAGCCCCGGGGGGGGGGAGAGGGGAGAGGGGAGCCCCGGCCTCCCGAGGCCCTGTCGCGCTGGAAAAAAAAACACGGCGGGAGGTTGTTCGCCAGTCTCGGCCTCCAGGGGGCCCTTTGCCGCGCCTCGGGGCCGTCAAGAGACGACTCGGGACCATTGTGATGTGCCAACCTGCTTTGGCCTTGATCACCAGGAAGAGTTTCGAGCACCGAGAACGTACCGAAATTCTAAACGCTTCGCGTATCCCCACCAGCCCATCCAGAAACGATGTCCAGGCGAGTTGAGGTGATCAGGGAAGTGCGGCAGCAAAGAGGAGGACGGGCGAACCGTGCAAAGGAGTGAGGAGGAGAAGGAGCAGGTGGATGGATGGATGGATGAGAGAGTGGGAAGAAGGAGGATGAATAGGATGAGGAGGAGGCGAAGGAGGAGGAGGAGGAGGAGGAGGAGGAGGAGGAAGAGAAGGAGTAGGAGCAAGAAGGAGGAACAGGAGGAGGAGGAGGAGGAGGAGGGCAAGCACAAGGGCCAGAGGTCTCTTGGATGCCTCTCGGAGCCTCTTGGGGTATCTCTTGGGCGATTCTTGGTGGCCTCTTGGGACGTCTTCGGGGTCTCTTGGCGATCCTGGGGGGCTCTTCGGGGTCTTGGGTGCCTCGGGGGGGGCCTCTTGGGGCCTCTGAGGGTCTTCTTGGGGGCCTCCTGGGGGCCTCTTGGGGGCCTCTTGGGGCCATCTTGGGGTCATCTCGGGACCTCTTGGGGCCTCCTGGGCGCTTCTTCGTGCCATCTTGGAGGAGATCTATTAAAGAAGAGCGGAGCATTAATTAGCCTTGCCCCCCAGGAGGCCAAAATTGGGGCCACAACCCTAGTAAAATCAATGATGTTGGCTTCCTCGCCGAGGTCATTTTGGACGCCCTGACACCTCGCGGCCCCCCCCTCTCCAGGTCCATGGGGAGGGGGTAGGGGGAGGGGTCAAGCTACCCCCCCGCCCGCAAGCCGTCTCGCTCACTCCCACCCGCCCTCCCAACACATACGTAGCACCCGAGTCTGGCCCGAGCCTCTGCATATTTAGCAGTCGTCTTTGGATGGGTAGCTACTGGGGGCCAATCAGCTGCCGCCACCGCCGCCTCCGCCGCCGCCGCCGCCGCTGCCGCCGCCGCCGCAGCCGCTGCCGCTACCGCCACCGCCGCCGCCGCCACCGCCGCCACCGCCGCCGCCGCCGCCGCCCCCGCCGCCGCAGCCGCCGCAGCCGCCGCCGCCGCCGCTGCCGCCGCAGCCGCCGCCGCAGCCGCCGCCGCCTCCGCCAAGTGTACTCTGTATTTTTGTTGACAGGGATGGTGGGGGGGCGCATCGGGTTGGCTGCGCATGTTCCGAATTTGGAGGCAGAGTGTGTTTTGATTTGTTTTTTACAAGGGATTGTGGGGGGGGTGCCATGGACCTGGGTTGGCCCCCAGTCGCCTGGGGGAGGGGGTGTTCATTAATAGGGAACAGTGATCAACCCCTCCCCGAAGGGGAAGAAGGAGGGGTGGAAGAGGAAACGCCCTAAACCACCGACGCCCAGAGGGCTGGTGGGACTGAAGGGTTTTCACGAGCGGGGCCCTAGGAGTCGATACGCGTTCGACACTGTTTTGACGCTTCTCTGGGTGCTCGAACTTATGGTTGGCATGTGGCCCTTAGGCACGATGAGAGCAACATAACACGACGGGAGGTGTTTCGCCATTTTCGGCCTCCAGGGGACCTTCCAGGCTTCGATACCATCAGAAAACGACTCGGGATGAGATGCCATCCCGGGCAAGGGGTCGAGACCTTTGGCGGTCGGCGCTGGGACTGAGTCACGACGTCGCAGGTCGGGGTCCCTTGCCTCGGCCCCTCCCCGTTAGAGGAAAGAGAACTATGCACATACACCGATTCTGGCCAGGCCCATCCTTAGCCCAGGATCGGTGCATACGCCCTCCTACAGTGGCCAGGAAAGCATATGCAACGATCCTGGGTCAAGGATGGGCCTTACCAGGATCGGTGCATGTGCATAGTTCTCTTCGCCCTCCCCCGTGTGACAAGAGGAAGGGCCATGGCGGGTTCTGGGCAGGCGCCCACTCCTCCGAGTCGCGGCCTGCCTCCCGGGAGGGGAGGGGGGTTGGGCGTCGCTTGATTCAGGAAGGCAATTGACGGGTTGGGAGGACGGGGCTCTGAGAAGTGGGGATGTCAGCATTACCCCGAGGCGGCCGAAGGTATCGTTCGTGGCATCTTGATGCTATTGCCCATGCCCTTCATCCTCCCAACCCCTTCCTCCCAGCACGATAAGTGATTGTTCTCCTCATCCACGGGTGGGCGATACACATGGGGGGAAGAGAAAGGTGCACTTATCGCGAGAGGCCCCCGTTCGGGGCCCTAGCAGAGGGCCCTTCTTAGGGGCCCCAACGGGCCTCTTTTCTGCAGCCCTCGCTGCCCCCCCCCCCCATTTATCGCCCCCCCCCTTGGGCGACGCCCGAGGGGCGGCAGCGGCCAGACTCGAGCGGCTGATCCACCGCCCCTCTCTGCGCCAGCTCCTGCTCAGGCCTAGGCAAGCTGTTTTACGACACGCAGATCTGCCTCCCCGTGTGGACCCTCATCGGCAGCCTCGTCTTACTGCCTGTGCACATCAACGCGACGAGCCTGGGCTCCTACACGTCCCTGATCTACGTGAACTGCTCGACCATCCTGGGGAGCATATTCGTATGCAGGGGGGCTGGCGCCACCTCTTCCGTTGCTTGCCGTCCCTCCTCGTCCGTCCCGGCACCCCTTCCATCCCCGCCCTGACCCCCTATTCCACCCGCCCCGTCCCCATGCGCCCTCCTTCGGGATCCCGCAGGGGCACGACAGTCTGACCATGAGCCTCCCAAGGATCAAGGATCACGGCCTCCCTTCCCATCCCGCCCTTCTCACCCTCCCTCTCGCCCTCCCCCGCTCCCTCCCCCGTCTCTCCCCTCCCTCCCCCCTCCTCACTCCTACCCTCCCCGCTCCACCCTGCCTCCCCCATCTGCCCCTGGAGATGCTAGGTGGGATGCGACTGCAATGTTGAAGCGGATCTTGCACGAGCAGGGGCCAGGGCCCGAAATGGTTCCTGGCTCCCCACCCTCGTCGCTTCTTCCCTCTCCTCTTCCACGTCGCTACTCCCAAACCCCACGGACGGAGAATGCAGGCGGAAGAAGAACAGGAAGGAGTTCCGACGTCTCGGATGTTCGAACGCTTCGGAGCGCCAGACACGCCGCCCTGAACCAGGCTTTGCCGATTGCCATCAACGGTGGCAACACTACAGAAATCAAAAAAAACGCCAGAGCAGCGAGCCACTTTGTTTAGTTGCGCTCTGGGACCCGATGGACTGTCGCTCCGTTTCGGGTATTGCTAGAAGTGCCCTTGGCCCAAAGTGCCCCCAAGATATCCGAGGAGGCCCCCACGGCCTCAAGAGCACCCCTCACGAGGCCCAGAGGGTCCCAGGGGCTCCAAAATCTAGCGAAAAGCTGGGGGCACCTTGGGCCAGGGGCGCAACCCCCGACTGTTGGGTAGTCTACGTCATTCGCTCCACTGGTGCGAGTGGCGATGCCCCTGTTGGTGAGGGGCCGGCGCGCCTCTGATCTACATGGCGACCCTCGGCGTCGAGGTGACGCGACCCCCCACGGCGGGCTTCTACGCGGTCAACCCGACCCTGAGCTTCTCGGAGAGGGGAGGAGGAGGAGGAGGAGGAGGAGGAGGAGGAGGAGAGGAGGAAGGAGGAGAGGAGGAGAGGAGGAGGGGCAGGGGGAGGGGGAGGAGGGGGAGGGGGGGGAGGGGGAGGGCAGCCTCCTCCCTCCTCCTCCCCCTCCTCCTCCTCTCCTCCCTCCTCCTCATCCTCATCCTCCCCTCCCCTCAACCTCCTCCTTCTCCTCCTCCTCCTCCTCCTCCTCCTCCTCCATCCTCCTCGTCCTCCTCCTCCTCCCCTCCCCCCCCTCCATGTCGTCCTCCTTTTCCTTCTCGTCCACCTCCCCCCTCCCTCCTCCCTCTCCGCCTCCTCCTCCTCCTTGGGGAAGGCGGGGGAGGCGCACCGCGCGGGCCTGCGGGGCAGGAGAGGGGGCCTGGCAGCGATGCGCGCTCGCGTCCACGCTGCGGACCCCCGCCTCTTCCCCTCCGCGTTGCAGCGGCTTCACAGCACCATCCCCGGCCTGCGCCCCAACGGGCCCCAGGACAGCGTATAGACCCCTTGATCGGGGGCAGGAGGGCACCCCCATATTGATACAGGCATGTGCACGTATATGAATGCACGTATATGAGTACATACTTTTGTATATATATATGTGTGTATACAAACCCAGGGCCTAGGATGGCCCTGGCCAGGGATGGCGGTGGGCAGAGCTGCCTTCAGAGGATCCCCCCCCCGTGGCCGATGCAGAGAGGGGGGAAGGGAGAAGGGTGCCAGGCAAGCTGGGCGCGCTCGCGCCATATCTGACATGCCATCCCTCCCTCCCATCCCTTCCAATTGCACAAGTTACTATTTCCGCGGACGTCTGGTCATAGCCGATGTGGAGCTCCAAACAAATCGATCGTCTGATGCGTAGTCGGAAAAGGGGGAGTTGCGTACATAGGAGAAGGAGGAGGAGAAAGAGGAGGAGGAGGAGGAGGAGGAGAAGGTGGGTGGACAGGAGGATAAGCAGGAGGAAATTGAGGAGGATGAGAAAGGACGAGGACGAGGACGAACAGCAGCAGCAGGAACTGTGGAGTGCAAGAAGTGGGATGAGCAGGAGGACCAGGGGAAGGCGGAGGAGGCGAAACGAGAGGGGCAGCAACGATGGAAACGACTCGGATCCGGAAAACATGGCCCGCACTGGTGCGAGAGCGCCACCTTGAACGACGGGAGCATAGCGCTGATCCGAAAGTGAGGTCTACGCTGCAACGAGAGCACCACTTTGAACGACCGGAAACAACCGGAGGGTAAACAATATACCAGGAGACCAGCAGAAACAACAACAACAACAACAACAACAACAACCACAACAACAACAACAACAGCAACAGCAACAGCAACCGCAACAGCAACAACAACAGCAGCAACAACAACAGCAGCTACAACAGCAGCAACAACAACAGCTATCAGTTTAAGACTGTTCGCTCCCATCTGCTCACGTGCCAATCAACACGTCTATCACAAGCCATTGGTACCCGCCCTCGTCGTCTTCGATCGTACCCACTTGGGGTATATCTTCCTTACCTGTCACGCGTATTGTGTGCAGCCCCTGGAACAAGGGACGAGAGGACGGGTTGAAGGTGGAGGGAGAAGAATGGAGCACGAGAGAAATTATCCCAGTGCGACCCTACCTAGGAGTTGGAACCCCTAGGAAAGCAGCATTAGTAGTAACAGTAACGCTAAGCTAAAGCTAAGCTAAAGCTAAGCTAAAGCTAAGCTAAAGCTAAGCTAAAGCTAGCTAAGCTAAAGTTAAGCTAAAGCTAAGCTAAAGCTGAGCAACAGCTAAGCTAAAGCTAAGCTACAGCTAAGCTAAAGCTAAGCTAAAGCTAAGCTAAAGCTAAGCTAAAGTTAAGCTACAGCTAAGCTAAAGCTAAGCTAAAGCTAAAGCTAAAGCTAAAGCTCCCAGGGGACTGGGGGGAACCGCTCCCAGGGGACTGGGGGAACCGCCCGGGGCGTGTTGCACTGCCCGGCCCCTTTCAGCTAACAGAGTAAGAACCCTTCTAGGCAGAGCCTAGGTAGGGAATTAGCAAAAGGGGGACAAGGAGCAGAAAACAAGTGGTATAACCAGACGGGCAGATCGGGTGGGCAGACCCATAGCGGGCTGGTCGGGAAGGCGGGCCCAGGCGAGGAGGTCGAGCAGGCGGGTTGTTGAAGCGTGGGTCCTGCATGAATCGCGAGGAAGTCTCGAGCGATAGCGCGATTCCCTAGTAAATCGTGAAAAAAAGCCAGCGTGGGTCACGAAGGGCAAACAGTCCGAGGCCACAGAGGGCAGCGAAGGGGCCGCTGAGGGCAGCACCGTGGCCACGAAGGGCAGCGAGGGGCCACAAAGGAAGACAGTGGGACCACGAAGGGCATGCTTTTGGGGCCACGACGGGCGCGATCAAGCGGGGGCCACGAAGGGCATGCGTATACGGGGCCACAAAGGGCGACAACGGGGCCACTGAGGGCAGCAAAGGGGCCACGAAGGGCAGCGAGGGGGCCACAAAGGGCGACAGCGGGGCTACGAAGGGCATGCGTATGGGGCCACGACGGGCGCGTGCGAGCGGGGGCCACGATACGGGGCCACAAAGGGCAGCGACGGGGCCACTGAGGGCAGCAACGGGGCCACGAAGGGCAACGAGCGAAGGCGACCGCAGAACCAGCACGGGCAGCGAGGGGCATCGAAGGCGGGCGAAGGGCAGTGAGCGGCGACTGCAGTCATTAAAGGGCTGGTCTGGCGGGCAGGCCCCGACGGGCGGGTGAGCGGGCGGGTCGTTGAAGCGTGAGTCCTGCTTGAACCGCCAGGCAATATGCAGCGGGAGCGCGATTCCTGTGTGTCGAGAACTGGCATCTGAATCAACTGTGAGGAAATATGAAGCGGGGCGGTTCGGTGGTAAGTTGCGAGGAAGTCCCAAGCGAGAACGCGATTCTGCAAAAAAAGGTCAAGAAGAATCAAGCGGGAGCCGCGATTCGGTGGCAAATGGACAGGAAGTCCCAAGCGACAGGCGGGAGCCGCTGTTGTTGTAAAGCGGGGGCCAACAGCACAGTTTGACCCTCAAGACTTCCCCTGATACAAACCAGGGTGCGAGGCCTGGGAGGGCCCTCCAATTGAAAAAGATAATGTGCACCGGGCGGGGGGTACCAACATTAGTTTTTCATCAGAAGTGAGAGTTCGACGACAGCAACAACAGCAGCAGCAGCAACAACAACAGCAACAACACAGCCACCAACAACAGCAGCAACAACAACAGCAACAATCACACCAGCAACAACACCAGCCTCATCAGCAGCAGCAACAAACACAACAACACCAACACAACTGAACACAGCACCAGCAACAGCAACGACCACAGCAGCAGCACTAATAACAACAAAAAAACAATAGCAATGACATTAATGTTCAGACAATTCGCTCTTTATCTGCTCGTGGCCCACTCCGCACGTAGATCCCGAACCCTCGATGTGTGTTTCTTCGTCTTCCATCGTACCCCCTTGGGGGCATATATCTCTCTTACTTGCAACGCGCGTTTCGTGCAGCCCCCAAGGCCGTGGAAGAGAGGACGGGTTGAAGGAAGGGACTAGGGAGAGGGAGGAGGATGGAGCACGAGAGAAAGTAGCAGGAGGGGGGCTAGGAGAAAAACACGTGGCAGAACCATACGAGCAGATCGGGCGGGTAGACCCTAACGGGCGGGTTGGGAAGGCGGGCCCAGGCGGCCAGGTCGAGGTTGCTGAAGCGTGCGTCTTGCATGAATCGCGGGCCACTTTCAAGCGACAGCGCGATTCCCCCATTAATCGTAAGGAAAACCACAGCGGCAGCGTGATTCTTGAGTGTCGAGGGCCCGGTGTTTGAATAACTTGTGATGGGGTCCCACGCGAGAGCGCGATTACTGGATACATCGTGATGGTGCCCCGCGCGAGAGCACGATCTGGTAACAAATTGTGAGGAAGTATCAGGCGGGAGCTGTTGTTGTTGAACTTTTGCTTTTGAAGAATACTTATTGTTGATCCCCCTTCACCAGTGCACACGGATCGGTCTCAATCAAAGTGCGCCCTTCGACGTTCGCACCCTGTTTTTGATAAGGAAAATCTCGAGGTTCAAACTGTGCCTTTGGCCCCCTGGGTTACAACAGCAACAACAACGGTTCCCGCCAGAGACTTTCTCCAAATTCACTCAGGACCCCCGCCCCCGCCTAAGAATTTCTCACAATCTGCTCAGGATCGGTGCTCCCGCCTGCGACTTCCCCGTAATTTAGTCAGGACCCCCGCTCCCATCTGAGACTTCATCACAATTTACTCAGGAACGGCGCTCCCGCTTGAGACTTCTTCGCAATTGAACCACAATTTCTTCGCAATTTCATCAAGACCCCCGCTCCCGCCAGAGAACCCCTCACATGTTATTCAGGAATTGCGCTCTCGCCTGTGACTTCCGTGCAGTGTATTCAAGCATCGCGCTTCCGACGCTCAAGAAACACGCTGCGCCAAGGACGCCGTCACAATTTACTTAAGGATCGCGTTCTCGCCATACTCAGGCATCCCGCTTGAATGTCCCACCCGCCCGACCCGCCCGTCAGGGGATCGCCCGCCCGTCGTGGGTTCCCGCCCGAGACTTCCTTCAGGAACGGCGTTTTCGCCTAGGACTTCCTCGAACGGCCACGCTCTTACCTTCCTGCTCCTCCTCCCTCTCCCTCCCTCCTCCCTCCTCTCCTCCTTTCTCTCTCCTTCCTCTCTTCCCTCATCCTTACGCCTCTCTGCCCAATCCCCTCGTCCTCCTCTCCCTCTTCCCTTGTCCCTCCCCTCTCCTGCCTCCTCCATCCCTCTTTCTGTCTCTCTCTATATCCCCTCTCTCTCTCTCTCTCTACCTCTCCACCTCTCCTAAATGTCTTGTGCTCTCTCTCTCTCTCTCTCTTTCTGTCTCTCTCTCTCTCTCTCTTTTTCTCT